GTAGTTTGTATGTTAAATAATAAAACTTTTAATTTTTCCCAAAAATGAATGAAAATTTAAGCTACACAATCTAGTAAAACAGACTGTACTTTATATACACTTACCTGTTTGCACTTCTCCCTAAAATTTGGTTGTGATTGGTCAATGTATGGATATTTTAGAGGGTGTGACAGATGGACAGACGCCACAGAATTTTATATAGATTGTTTAAAACATAATAATAAAAGCAAGGTTAAAACAATATATCAGTTGTTTTTCCTATTTTAAATTATGAGGATTTTTCTTCTCAGACACAACAAAAGTTGCAATAATATTAAATTTTATTATTTGATGTGTTGAAAGACCTAAAACTATTAATGAACTTCAGTCAGTGTTTGCAATCTATATTGAGACTGTCAGCTATTTACTTTTTTTTTTTTTTTTCATTTAGAGATTTAAAAAAAATTATGGTCAGCTCTTGTTTTTTTATTTTTTTATTTTTATTATAATAATAGTTTAATGATAGTATTAGATTGTTTCACTTGCAGTAGAACTCACAAAATATGAAAATTATTACTGGATTTTGTAAACATTTGCTTTTACTTACCTTCTAAGCAGTTTGTTTATACCTTAATCTTTATAGCTATTTTTATATCACATTGTACCTTTTTAATTAACACACCTAGATATGCCAGATGTAAATAAATAACATTATGAGGACTCTTAGCACTTTCATTTAGCATTGATTATTTCATTGTAGAAAATTGTCTGGCAACATTAAAGTTGACACTATTCCATTATTTATTATGCAGTAGCTTCTACTTGTGTATTTGTTGTATTCATTAATAAAAAAAAAAAAAGAAAAGAAAGGAAAATGTTTTAAATCTCAATAGGTTTTTCTTTCTAAGCACCAGTCCAACACAATTACTGAAATTTTTTTTGTTGGCAATATTAATTTATCTGTTTATATAAACAAAAATTTTTTTTTCTAGAAATACAATAGATGTGAAATGAATAGACGAAAATAACAACAACAACAAATATGTATGAAATAAATAGATAGAATTCTTGATAATTTTCATGTCTGAAAGGAGGAAATATGTCTGATGATTGCCCATGAAAAAGAATGATAATTTGTTCACTCAAGACGGGAGTCAAAACAGAATGATCAGTTAATAGCACACTTCTTCATTTATAATTATTACTTCCTGTAAATGGAATCACCTCAAAATACAGTGTTTTATATAGTAGTTTTACATATTTGAAATTTCAGTAGCTTGGCTCTCAATTTCAGTCAAGATTGTTTTAGGTGTTACCATAGAAGGATATGGCTACACAACCAAGAAATTCAATTTCGATTGGCAGGATTAACATTTTGCTTGGCAAAAATAATCACCTACAGAGTGCCAAAGGTTAAACTGGTTGCTTCTAAAAGACTTAAGTGATTTTTGCTTTGGTTAGTATGATAGATAGGCTTAAACAATTGATAATGTTTCTTTCACAAGGAACAATTTCAAAGTGGCAAACATGGATAAACATGTTTGCAATAAAATATGACAAAAGAATTTTTTTCCCCCCCTATGACATCACTTTAACTATCTTCACCCTTCGGCAATGTTTATTGCTTTAAAAAGCAATGATTAAAATTGTAATAAAGCCTACACACATGATGGAAATGAATTTAGACATTTTTTTTTTTTGTTCTTGAGAATTTACAACAGAAATATTAAACGTTATTTAAATAGATTCCTTATTTACAAGAATAATTTTACATTTACAACATTCTAAAAAATAATATAATTAGAATTAATGTAGTTCAATATTACTCATTTACCAATATGAAAACAATTTTTATTTATAAATTTATAAACATTTACTAAATTATTAAAATATGTAAACCAGCTATAAGGAAATCCTTATTATTTACCATTTTATAAATGTTGAATCAGTTGGCAATTAGCCAATGTTTTGCCAACCAGTCCAATAAATAATATAATAATATAAATAAACAATGTAATAAATAAAGTGTTTATTATTTTTGTTGTAAATTCTCAAGAACAAAGAAAATGTATAAATTCACTTTCATATGTTTAGGTTTTATTACAATTCTAATTATCACTTAAAACAATAACCATTGTCAAGGAGTGAAGGTAGTTAAAATAATAGCAGTGTCATGGGGGGGAAAAACTTCTTTTTGACACTGTCTTATTTTGGGTACGTTTCTCCAGGTTTGCCTTTAAAGTTCTATTTATACCCTATAAAACAATTGAACATGAAATTTCTGCATAATAAGCATCCCCAAATAAATTTTGTATTTATATAATTTCAGATTTTATTAATACCAGTTGCTAAATGTAACTTTTCTTTTAAACAAGTTAAATAATGAAATAGGAGTGTTTATATACGTATTTATCTGCATGCTACGTGACACAAGGTTAGTTTAATGTGGACTTTCAGCAAAACCGTAGAAAAATAGTTAAAAACCTTGGCACTTCCCATTTTGGTGATGCCTCAGTCAAGCGAGTAATAAACACAGCTTCCTCCCAAAGGAGAGGTACTTCCTGGGGTGGTCTTAGAATTCCAGCCCACACATTAATCGTAAACTGATGCTGGTGTCTAGCCTGTATTGTAACATGGGTATTCCAATCTGCCCACAAATATTGGTTGCGCAAATTTGTTATTCCATCCAAGTGTTGCCTCATCCGTAAACAAGACTGAAGAGACAAACAATGGATCAGCAGTTTGTGCAATAAACCATCAGCAAAAGTTCTCCTGTAGAGAATAATCAGAGAGCAAAAGACCCTGCACACATTTCAAATAATATGGATACAGGAGTTGCTCTTGAAGTACCCTCCATGCGGTACTATAAAATGTACGGCATGCTAGGGCCACTTGATGTGTGCTTGTACTTGTATCATCTCTGACAGCCTGTAGAATGAGTTCTTCATGGCCAGGTATGTGAGCAGATCTCTGTCTTCTTTGATCTGTAGTTTTAGTGCCATGTATCCTGTCTTGGCAACACAACAATAAACAGCGGCAAAGTTTGGATGACTTGTGGGCCTTTGGCCTGGAAACGCAATCTGATGCAACCATGCAGCCTCTTGTCCATTACCATTCATGTAGCCGTATGTAAAAATCATACCTGCCTGCTTACGATAAGAATATCCTGCCATTGTTAAATGGAACACTTCTCAGTTAACTCGCTACTGCACACATTAAATGTTGAAGACAGACTAGCCACAAATGTATACAAATGGCAAATGTAACCTAGTCTACATGGCAACACAGTGCCATCTCTTGTAAACTTTCTTTAAACTTGATAACTCAAAAATGAGGGCTATATGGACTTTTGTCCTTGTTTTAAGGAACCTGTCGCCAAAGTTTGTAAAAGTATTTTTGATACACCCTGTGTGTGTGTGTGTGTGTGTGTGTGTGTGTGTGTGTGTGTGTGTATATATATATATATATATATATATATATATATATATAAGTGGATAATGAGTGGCGGCAGTCTTTCATGTTTTAAAACAATCTTCTGGCCATGTGTGTTGGCTTGACTATTTATACAGGGTGAGGCAGAAGTCTCGCACCATTTATTAAAAGCATAATTACACATGAACATTCTATTTGCTAATTATTTAATTGTTATATGTGCTGTTCAAAATGTCCTCCTTATTTTTCAAAACACATTTCAATTCTTTATTTGTGCCATTCATTAACATATCAGAGTTTTCTGCTTTCCCATACATGAACATCGAGGTAACTCCTTCATCCTTTGTTAGTTTTTAAGCCATCTTATGTTGTCAAAATTGTTTCTGCAAAATTAGAAAATATCAAAACAAATTAGACATTTAAAACATGATTAATTAGCCAACATGATGCATGACTTTTGCCTCCTCCTGTATATGCTTGTCAATGGTGCATTATGGGTAGTCAGGTATTTCTGGTTTATTGTATTATCGTTATGGCCTACTGGGTAGGCAGCAACTGTTATATTTCAAATTATTCTAAAAGCTATTGGTACAATGAACCATAAATGCAAGTTAATTATGGAGTTTTATAAGCAATTATAAATTGTGGGCTTCTCATTCAAGTTCACTCATAATTCTCTGATACTGCTGACAGATATAAAACCTTGCTATGGTTGGCTTGTCTTAATCAAAGTGACACACAAGTTAGTCATTGCAATTGCATTTCATTGATTTCTTTTAGGTATGGTTTGGCAGTAAAATAATTTTTTTTTTTTTTATATCAAGTTTGATTTCCCTTTTGAAATTGAGAATTATTACATCTAATTTCTTTACTAATCATTTTCCACATTATTGATTTTCTGTTGGGACTGGCATTAATATTGTATTAAAATATTTGCTTTATTAACAGCATTATTTGAATTGTTTTTTGGATTCATTTTGATTGGCTGATTTTTTTTATTTTTTTTTTATGTAGTAATTGATTAAACATGGATTACAAATTTATAAATATTGGTTGAAACTAATATATTTCTGCACAATTGAAGTGTAGCATTCTTTCTATGAATCATAGGAGTGTGTGTGTGCCTTATATATGCACTGATTGAAAAAGTCATTTCAATCTTTGGCAGTTTCCATCTACACCTTTTTGTTTGTAAAAAAAAAAAATTTTTAAATTAGAAAAATCTTTAAAATTAAATGTTTAAAATTTTTAAAATTCTTTAAAAAATTTTCAAGAATTAAAAATTTATATTTTTTAATGACTTTATGCAATATAATTGAATTTTATAAAAGTTTTTTTATCAATCATACAAGGATGAAACAAATATACTAAAGCTCTAAAGATACTAAAAATGTTTTAAAAAAAATGTGATCTTTATGTCATACATTTTTTGTAATATATGAAATTATGAATAGAAAAATTACAATATAGCTTTTCTTTTAAGCAAAATTGCAATGTTTGTCTTTCTTTAAAACAAAGTTCTTCATTTGTTTTGGAGACACTTTATAAAATCTTTTATTGATTTTATTTTTTTCTTTTATTTCTTTCAGCTCATATTCGAGATCCCAATAATGTTCCGCACTCTATGCACAACCTGAAAATAACTGTGAAGGACTTGAACACGCCTCCCCCACAGCAAGCGGTTGCCCGCAAGATGATGACGGATACTGTCGCAAGTGCTCAGCCACAGTTAATGGATGGTAACCAAAGGAATGTTATTACAATTGGGGACTATGATCTTCAGCTCAGTGGTAAGTAAAATCGATATATATATATCTCCATGAAGTTGAATTTCCCCCCTCTTTTTTTTTTTTTTTTTGGTAATCTTTTCTGAATAATTAACTAACATGTATGCACTCTATTTCATCAGCCATAGTGGCACTTAATAATTAAGCTTGGTGATAATTAGCATATGAAAAAATTATAATAAAACTTCTACAAATAGTGACTTGACATCAAGCAGAGGCTGACAAAGGCAGCATTTTTCTTTTTCTCATAGATGTACACAAGGCAATGTGGAAAATTTCTGAATCCAACAAAGAAACCCTTTAATAAAGAAACAAAAGAAAAAGTTTCATGTTTGCTTGGTTATAGGAAGTGCTGAAAAACTCCAAGATTAACTCACTCCCCTTAATTTTTTTCCTTTTTTTGATTAAGAATTTTCAGCGCCCACATGTAGAATTTTCTCTTTCAATATTGTATGCCATTCAGGACATGACTGATTTGCACAACTTGCTCTCTTTTGTTGTTCTCAGCAACAATTGCTACTTTCATTTGCTTTTGTTACCTTTGATATGCAGAAGTTGGATAATCATGTCTCTCCGCAGCTTCCTTTCTTTTGATGCTCTCATTGTTACTTGCTCCTTTATGATTCGTATTTCTCTTTTATGGTACTTGTTTCCCCACCTCTTTGCTCAAACTTGTCAATTATGCTCCTTGCTACTTTCCTCTGCTTCCTTTGCCTTTAATGTGGGCAATCATGACTCTCCACAGCATCCTGTCTTTTGTCACTCTTGGCATTACTTACTTCTTTATGACTTCTCTTTGTGGTAATTTTTTTTCATTTGTACAAACTTTTTTACTTTTAAATAGGTTATTCCTTGCATTTCTTTGTTTCTCTTGATTTTTGATATATAGGTTATGATGGATAAATTGTCCTCTAAATTATGCAAAAATGAAAATAACACTGACAACTTATTTTAACAGATATATTTACCAAAATTGCATAAAAATATGTTGAAATACTAAATAGTAAATTTATTCAATAAAATTGCCATTGACTTCAGCTATGGACCACACATAATAATCAAGGACGTTGCAGTCTGGGGAGTTAGGTGGTCTGATGTAAAGGGTGATGTGACTGTAGAAATTGACTGACAGACATGACTGGGTTCTCCTGCTAGTGTGATATGGTGCAGAATCCTATTGCCAGACATATTGCCTTTCAGCAGCCACCCTTTTGACCCAGGCCAGCAATACCTCCTTAAGGCACTTAATGTAGGCCTCCATGTTGAGTCTTGAGGCCCTGTGAGAAGATGAATGGAGGCATAATGTCACTATCACTAATGATCACTCCAAACACCATATTCACTGAATATATCATCCAACTCTTTTTGAATCCTCTGCATTTTCTGCAGATTGACATCAAACACTCTGAAATGTTCATATTGGATCTTCTGGCATGAATTCCAAGTAACCCAGCATGCCGTTTCCAAATTTATAGCAGAGTGAATTGCGTCATGGTGCTCTTTTTCTCACAGACAGTGCCCAACTAACCCTGCTATACTGTGCAGTCAACAAAATCAAAAAGAAACAATATGCATGTGCAAAATTAAAAATTTAAAATGGCGACAATTTACCTCTCGCACCCTGTGTTCTGTGAATATTCAATAATTCAAGTATTCTTTCCTCATGTACCTCCAAAATTCCAATTGCATCACGTTTTCATTTGGGAAAGGACTTTCAGCTTTTACTGTCTCATAGAAGCATAGACATCCTATATATGCAAGTCAAAACTAGGTAAAGCAACAAAAAGTTCACAAAATAAAAATGGTATTAACATACAAAAGGGATATTGTCAAGTGATTGTAGCATTTTGACTTCAAGACAAGAGAGAACAAAAAATGGTGGATGTGACAAAGAAGTGGTCCATTTTATTGGTTAGGAATAATTCCCAGCATGCATCTGAATGATTTGTCTACAAATTTGAAGAGAGGGAGGTTAACAATCATTCCACGAGATTGGAACCAATGCACTTAACTGTTTATACCATCTTGGGATGACTTATTTTCCACACTACAGCCACTTTCCCCACAGATGCAATGCTGCAAGCAAATGCCCACAGTCAAATACACTCAAATTTCCTTTGTATTCCAAATGTAAGGAAAAAGTCCCATTCAGACAGCTTTTTCCCAAGAGCTGTTAGTAAATATTTTTAGATTGTAAGAAGTTTTTGGAGATAATAATGATTTATTGATGCAAGTTTTACTAATTAGCCCATAGTTTGGAGAGAAGTATTTATGAGTAAGTGAATATAACAAACTCAACTGAAATTGGAACTTGGCTCTCCGATTTTCAATTTCAAGCCATTGTCCATTACACCACCTGCACATCCAAGGTTAAAGCACCTAGTATTCCCAAGTGGGCTACTTTGTGGAAGAAACTCCTGCATGGATACTTTCCTAAATCTTAACCTTTTTAAGTCAAGGATCACTCAATATCTATCCTCATAATTTTTACTTCCTTCTATCTCTTCTTATATTCTTATCACACACCTCATTCAATAACCTTCTACCATGAGTGGCTCTTGAGTCTTTTATTAAGTGAACTATGGTTGTTAAAAAAAAAAATACTCTTTTCATTTTCTGTTATTACACTGAGTTTTCTGTATTTGTTTAATCTTGATATCCCCAGTGTGTAACTCACATTTTGGGCTGGTCCTTTTGCTCATGACCATCCATTAGTCATCTTTGTCACATATACTGTTATGGTTAAGTAGATGCAGTAAGAAAATGCCTCATTGTCACACCCCTCTTTCTATTTTGGTGTTCTCACTTAAGTGCTTTTTGTTTATCTTGAAAGTCCATTTTTAGTAGTAAACCAACTTTATAATAGATCAGCTGAACATGTCCAGAATTTGGATATCAGATAAATATGTAAAAAAAAAAAAAAGCATTAAATGTAAATATTTATTTGTAATGATTTTCTCTTAGCAGCTGTTATACATAAGTTATATAAATGAATCTGAAGAAGTCTTCTATGTGTCTCGTCCCTTCAGGACTTGCGCATTAATGGCTCTCCACTACTTCCTGTCCTTTATAGTATCCTTTAGTAAAGCTTGTTTTTTCACTATCCCTCCCAATTCCTTTTCTGCCATCCATTTACACAAGCACGTTAGGTAGGTTTTGTACGGTTTCTTTCTGTCCCACATTGCCTTCAATATGCCCTGTGTGTGTCAAATGCTCCAAACCCACTTTCTTTATGCATCCTAGAAATTTCAAATGTCACTTTCTGATTCCTAGTATAAGTGTCCTTTTTGTTTCCATTCTTCTTAATGATTTGTCCTCGCATACATGGCATGATGGGTTTTAGCCGTGAAAGCTTGAACTGGTGGTACTAATGAATGTACCTTGCCAGAACATATGCCATGGAAATAGCAATAGATTACGGAGTGGTCTGCAATGTTTCATTTGTGGGGAAAGGAGTTGTAGAGTGGAAAATAATTCATCACCCACATGGCCATGTAGACACTACTGAACTCTATCAAGATTGGAAAATGACTATAAGGCAACTTCACTCCAGATGTGGCAGCAGTACTCCATTTTTGGTCTGAAATTGTCCCTTGTAAAAATAGAGCATAGCAGGAGAAGTCAAGTACTTTCTGGATCAATTCAAGGAACTGATCATATTTCCAACATCTTTAGCCTTATGCAAATTTGTCTGTGCATTGAATACTTCTGCTATATTTGGTCTGATGCTCCTGCTGCATGTCTTGAGAGTCTTGACAAAATTTAAAGTGTCAATAAAGTAATCAATCCTGACCTGGCATCTTCAGTCACTTTCACACTGACATAACGTGGCTTTCCACTCTCTTTTCTACAAATATTTTCACGTCAACTGTTCTGATGAGCTTTTTTCCCCTGGTGCCTCAACTGCATGAATTAAAGCATGCTACTAGATTGGTAACTAGGTCTCACCATTTTATTGTTGAACAAGCTAGATGGAACCACCACTTCTATTCTAACAGTTTCTTTTCTTGCATTTCTCACCTGCAGAACTCCTTTCCAATTTCTTACTTCACTGTCACCTACAATCTTCAAAAATTTAAATACAACGTCAATCATCATCTGTCTTTCTGAGGCCTGTTCCTCCATTGTCCTTTCCTTACTTCTTCTCAGTAAATTTTTTTCATTCTCTTCCACACCCTGTAAACCCCCTCGTCCTAGTGGCATTATCGCTTTGCTTGGGATGAAACAATTTAAAGAAAAAAGTGTAATTTCTTGTCTTGGTTCCATGATATTATGTCAGTGATACAAAATAGTGAGAATTGGATGCTCTTGAATACAATTACAAACCACAATGGATGTTAAAGAAAAGGAAGTTGTTGGGAGCCATGATTGCTCATATTCTAAAACATTGGTTCTCAAGTGGTATAGCGCACATCATAGGTGCATTGGAAGAAGATAGCAGGTGAGGCAAAATGATCGAAAGAAAATCAAAGATTTAGAAACAGTTTCAAAAAATTCATATAATAAAAATAAATGATTTCAAAACTTAAAATATTATTATGGATTACTTGTAATTGCATGCATGAGTCCCAGTATAAATAATTTTAAATAATTATTGATCAATTTTATCACTGTGATATTTTTGCATTATATCAAGTATTAAGAATATAGTAACTAGGGTGTGCAAATTGAAGGAGAAAGTTATCAATAATGTTCTGACTTTGATTCAATCCTCACTTTGTGCCTTCTTTGCCATAGAACTGCTTGTGCCTTTTCACCAGGATTTCTCTTCTCCTGAGCCAGTGTCTTTGTTTCTGGCATTTTCTCAAATTAGGCCTAATATAAAGGAGTTTACTTGTCAAAAACAAGCTCATATCTTTCATTAAGTTTGTGCACTTCAATTATAAGTTGCATTATATATTATATCTAATGAACATTTTTTATTTTTAAATGTACTTTTTATCACATAAAATTTGTTGAGGCACAAGCAGATTTTCATTCCAAAAATGTGGCCCAGGAAAAAAAAAAAAAAAAAAAAAAGGTTGGGAACCACTATTATAAAGGGATATATCACTTAGAAACACCAAAGCTGCCAGCATAATTAAAGTAGAAAGAAATAACTTTCTTCATGTCTAAATATTTTATTTTAATGTCTTTTTAATCTCTTTTCAGCCACTACACCATGGTTTGAAGCTTACAGAGAATGTTTTCTTCATTTGTTGCCACCATCGGATCATGAATTTCTCAACCACTGTCTCGCATGTATCCTTAAAATTGCATACAACCTTTCAGATTAATTTATGGTTCCTTTACTCCTACATAAATCCGTCTATAGTGTAACAATGAAAAAATATGTTTATCTAACACAGTATATATTTTGCAACATAATCTCATTCCTTGTGAATGCACTTAATTCAGTGTGTAATATTAATCACATAGATTTAAAAATGATATTGTGAAAATTTCAAATCTGAATTAAGCTCATGACTGTGTACCGTTACTGTCCCACTATCATATAATAATTATGCTTGTCCCTCCCTCCCTTTTTATTAGCTCTCCTTAGTTTGCATTGTGGTTAAGAGCCAGTTACCCCCCTTACTATCATGACTGATCCATTCATGATAAGTAGTCCTGGGTAACTGACTAGGAGAGAGAATATAATATTATTGCAGTGACTTGTCTTGCTGAGTATTAATTACTACTATCACAACTGACTTTATCAAGTTAAGTGTTGTGTCTTGCCAGACCCCACATCACAACAATTTGCATGACCATTACACCCTGGCATTAACTTATAAATCATGAACTGTTTCTTTTTGATCACGTGGAAAGACAAAAGACTTATCAAAGACTGTTGTAGCATACCTACGGACGATAATTGGTATGTCCCATTCCCGTAAATACAGTAGTGAATACTGTACGTGGTCTATAATTGGAGATTCATTGTGGAATTCACTTGACTCACTTCTAGCAGTTAATTGCTTCTTCTACACGCTGGTGAATCTTATATGTGCTGTTCTTGTCTTAAGTATTATTGTTCATTACCAACCTTCATGTGATTATTCTATTCAGTAACCTTCCCTAGGTTACAACATTTTGTCGATGAGGATTAGCCAAGATTACAACAGAGACACTACTTGATTTCCGTGGGGGGGGAAAAAAAAAGAAGAAAGTATTTAAACATCTCCTGCCAATACCTCGTAGATAATGGACTATTTTATTTTGATCACATGAGATGACAAGACATATCAAAGATGCTACTTGGTTTCAGTGAAAAATAGAAAGAAAGCAAGATAAGTGTTTAACATCAGTTTCAGTGAAATGGAAAAAGTTGTCAGTCAATTTCAGGTCCTTTCATTTGTACCTCCTTACTTCTTAAAATAACAACCAGCATTCATATTTATGATTGTTATTGCAATAATTTGTTAAAGTTGTTAAAATCAAATATTTAATGACGTCATAGGGGAATTTTACAGATATTTTATTGTTGTAGAACTCACCATGAGCTTTATAAAGATTCATCAGAAATTTAAAATAGGAAAACCGTGAATGTTTTCCCAGGTTAAAACAATATATTAATATCAGAAATTCTTACATTGGTCATGCTGCCACTCCACTTTTACACAGATTAATGTACCACTTGTTGGATAAGTGTTATATATTCCCATATAAATCAACATATATAATAATATATGTTAAAACTTAATATTTCAAGATGTCCCTGATTAAATATGATATAAAAAGGGGTGATGAAAAGTTCATCTAAAACTCAAATGTGGGTATCCACTAAAAATAACAAGTAAAAGGTGTGTCATTTAGCTGATGTTACCTTCAGCATCCTGACACCAGTGTTTTGTAGATGGACATTGGGAATAACTCCATCCATTCATCTGGGGATAACAGCAATTGATTCCTTATACTTCTTGATTTTTCATTTCAAACAGATTTTATCACTTAAATGTTATTTTTAGTGGATACCCATATTTAAGTAGATACTTCGATTATTAAACAATGTATTTGTTAATTATGTTAGGACACGAAACTGAACAGATATGATTGTCTTGAGAATCTTTGAAGAAATTTGTGCTTAAAGGTATTATTCAGCTTTGCTTGAGCGACAACAAAAACCTTTATGGCCTGGGATCTAAGGATGGTTTCTCTTGCTAAGGAGGATGCAGATTTGAATCCCAATGTAATAAATAAATATACTGTTTAATAAGTAAAGGGAGCGTCTACACAAATATGGGTTTTCACTAAAAATAACCTTTAACTGATAAAATTATTGATTATTTAAAAAAAAATCCATGCTTCTTTGGGAATATATGGTTAAATTTCTCAGAATAATTCTGAAGATAAGACAATTTTGATAAAAACGAGACAATTGGAAATGATCAATAAATATATTTTTCAATTGTCTTCTCTCTCACTCACACGCACACACACACACACACGAGTGCGATGGATAAATTCTCGTCTAAATTACACAAAAATGAAAATAGCACTGACAACTCATTTTAACATATATTTACCAAAATTACACAAAAATATCTTGAAATATTAAAGAATAAATTTATTCAATAAAATCATCATTGGATTCAAACATGGCCTCCAGATGATTTTGGAATCTCCTGCAACTCTTCTGAATGGTCTCCTTGTTTAAGTTGGTGAATCCTTGCCTTCAGTTGATCTCTGGTGTTACAAGAAGATATAATCAAGGGGGTCTCAGTCTGGGGAGTTAGGTGGTCTGATGTAAAGGGTGATGTGGCTTTAGAAATTGACTGACAGACATGACTGGGTTCTCCTGCTAGTGTGACATGGTGCAGAGTCCTGTTGCCAGACATAGTCTTTCAGCAGCCAGCCTCTTGATCCATGGCAGCACTACCTCCTCAAGGCACTTGATGTAGGTTTCCGTGTTGTCTGAGGCCCTGTGGGAAGATGAATGGAGGCATATGTCACTATCACTAGTGATCACTTCAAACACCATGATGTTTACTGGATATATCATCAATTCTTTTTTTGAATCCTCTGCACTCTCATTGACATCCAAATACTCTGAAATGTTGGTATTGGAGCTTCTGGCAGGGATGCCAAGCAGTATAGAATGTTTCCAAATTTCTGGTGGGGTGAATTGTATCATGGTACTCTTTTTCTCACAAACTGAGCCCAACTGGACTTACTATACTGTGCGGTTGACAAAAACAAAATGTGCATACACAAAATTAAAAATATGAAATGGCGACAATTTACTCCTTGCACCACGTGTGTGTGTGTGTGTGTGTGTATATATATATATATATGACAATAGGAAAACTGTAATAGTTGCCGACGCATTTTGTCCAATGTGGACTTTTTCAAGGTGGAACAAAATGAATTTATTAAACAAAGTAACTAATAATTATAATTGTTTTGTTATTATTACTTACTTTGTTTAATAAAATAAATTAATCATTTCGTTCCACCTTGAAAAAGTCCACATCAGACAAAACGTGTCAGCAACTATTACAGTTTTCCTATTGTCTTTTACATTTATAAATATTGTCTTTTTCTACAGGTTAACTCTGAGAAATTTTTCATATATATGTATATATAATCTTGCACATTGTGTGCTAGCACTAATAAAATAGTGCTTGATGTATAAGAAGAGTTATAATTTATATTAATAGCTAATCACATCACCCACAACAACTCACCTGAAAGATCTAAATTACAGAAAAAAAAAACAATATTATGAATTTAAACCAAGTTCCCGATCAAACCAAATTTATGAATAATTATATTGGACATACCACTACATGCTTATCAAGAAGACTCATGATACATCTCTTTGGTCATAGCTCAGTGAGGACCTATTAAACACATATGGAAAACTTTCAAACTTTGTCTGCAAAATATGAAAACAATAGCCTCATCCACATATAAAACAAGCCTAAAAATAATAGAAGCATTAATTTTGTAAAATACATCTATTGGATTCTTTAGTATGCATAATCAAGGATATTTCCAGCCAAGGTTCATTAGTTTACCATTTTTTCATTTGTATTTCATTTGGGTCTTTCAATATCATACCCCCTCTCCATGGTGACCCAGACAATACTGATTGGGTATCGACTTGTGTACCTCCCATTAGCTACCATTTTTTACATCTTCCTGACTACACACCATGTGACTCCTCTTGGCAATTTATTGTCCAAACCTGGATATATTAATAAAAAATAAAAATAAACAACTCCCAAAAATATCAACTATGACTATGCCCACAATGTGCTGAAAATAAAAAAAATACATTCCCATCACCATAGATACACATATATAAAAATTAATATATTCATAGGTAAAAATTGATATATTCAGTTAAAAATAAGAAAAAAAATCCTTGATAATGAAAGCATTCAGATATACAGAACATTTAGGCAGTTTTTACACACTTTACATTCAGAAAAGAAAATACTTATACAAACACAAGAAAAATTGAATAAAAAGCTCAACTGCAATAATTTGCCAATCGTCTTTAATGAAACTTGTATAAGAGGGATTGCTGACCAAATACATTAATTTTATATATATATATATATATATATATATATATAAAAACCTTTTTAACCATGACATCCTATACATGTGCACATACTCACACATCCAGGCTTACACATGTACAAAGAAACACCAATAAAAAAAGTGCATACTTTATTTTTTTTAACTTAATATAAAAATAACAAAATTGATAAAATTCAAAGACATTTGCTGATATCTCCTGACAAGTGGACTGAACAATTGTGCAATGGTTTGTATACAAAACTTTGGAGTAGAGATGCTGAATATATCA